TACTACTACTACTACTACTACTTGTCGTTGGCGGCTCATCGGCTTATCGGCTTCTCATTGGGGATGGGTGGGGGGTATTGGGCCTCTAATTGGCGGAGCGATCTGTGCAACAAAAATTGCTCTGCAGAGCATGACGGCAGCAACAAGTGGCAGGAACATGAATATCTAATATGACGCAAGACAAGCAAAGCAGACAAGCCGATAAAGGGCTTCTACCGGGTCGGCTTATTGGCTTATCGGCTGCAGCACGGTTTCGGACCAAATAGCAAGTACACTTGACATCCTGGGCAAGAGACTGGCACAGTGCCTGTCCCAACAAGGCGAGCTCACAGGCATGATCATCATGACGGCCGCTTGTTGGCAAAGATTGACGATAGGGAGCCCAAGTATGAGATGGCCTGATTTTGCGGTGCCTTCGTTGTACAGATCTCCGCATTCAGACTGGCTGCAGGAGGATGGACCCCTTGACATGCACAACCCATGGGAACCGGCACCAGCTGATGATCAGTAGAGTTTCCAGTTTTCAAGTCAGAGTCCACGAAGCCAGCTTGTGCTGCTCAGCTTCAGACTTGCTCTTGGCATGCATGGAGTGGCAGAAGTGACCAAAAGCGTTCCTGTACTTATACATCTGCAGAGTGCAAGGTTAGCTCCATGGCACATGTTAAACAGGCATGATGTACACGCCTGCTGTGACTGCATGTGACTGCATGTCATGTAAATTTGTATGAGTCTCAAGCTTTGGTCCGAGTATGAATCTTTGCAGGGGTTTGCTGAGGGGGTTGCTGGGAATTTTGCCTCTTCAAGTCGAAGTTCTGGAAGTTGGGAATCCTCTCGTGTCTTGGGCCTCCAGCGACAACGAGGCCGAGGATGTTGGCTCTGTCGTGCTCGATCTCAGCATTTGCTTCCAGTTTCCAGGTTCCGTGCACGCTGTTAGAGCAGTCTTAACAGACGGTGAGGATGTTGCAGAAGCGTTGCCAATTTTTGTTATGTTGGAGCATGTGGAAGCACAGAGTGGAGCAGTTTGGAAAGTCACAGCCACCTCAGATGCAAGTCCTGGTTCGCCACGCGGACGGCCAACACGACTAAGACTATCTGAACCGTTGTTTGCGAGACCAGGGCAGTGTTTGGGCTGGTTTACGCCACGGGATCGAAGGTCAGCAAAACCGAACCGCATTGGCTTTACCGATGCTGTGTCCTTTGGCCAGCGCTGGATGCACCCAGATGGCAAGGACAAACTGGACCTCTCTGCCTTAGCAGAAGCTCCGTACCCACCAAATACACTTCGTGAAGGTTCGCAATTGAGCTTCCACAATCTCTACCGCAGACGCTATGCCCTGGTAGCAGAACAGGAACCTTCACAGCACAGTTTTCACCATTATGCCTTAAGCCAATTTCTTCGCAGAACTGGGAAGTCTGATTCACGCGTTCCAGCTGCAGGGAATTGCTGGTCGGGAACAACCCCTGAGATGTGCTGCGTGCCTGCGGGAACCGGCACTCCGTGGTGCTTCGATGCAGTTTATACTTACGAGCTTTGCTGCACACCCTCGGCTGCGGGAGTGAGTGGTTGGACCCCTACTGAGCACTCCCTGCCGCCAAGCATGCTGATGCAACTGCAGCCGAATTTGGTTGAGCCGCATGGTCTGTCTCTGTCTCCCAGGCCTGTTCTCTCTGTGGATCTCTTCGTGCGCACTTACCATGCAAAGATGCAGGAGCTGATGCATTTGTTGCATTCGGTGGCTTTCTTCTGGCCAGCTGACTGGGGAGTCGTCGTTGTTCTGGATGGTGACAGCATCGAAGATGAGCACGCCTGCACTTTGCTGCCAAGATGGGTCCGATGCATTCTGCAGCCAATGCCTGCATTCTTGGTGGATTTGCAAACATCCTTCAGTCACGTAGATCCGTTCGGCCATGTAGGAGGAGCCCGACGCCAGCGTGGACTTGTTTGGAAGGAGTGGACAGAGTGTTGGGCTGACAAGTATTCAAAGGCCCAGTTCATCGCAATTTGTGACAGCGACGTCGTTCTCACAACATTTGGCCTACCACAGCTCATGTTCCAACCAGCAGGACCAGCAAGCAGCCAAGTTCGACCTGTCATTTGGGCACATGCCGACAACGCGCAGTTTCCCAACACTGTAGCTGCACTCGGACTGCCACTGCAAGCCGAGTTCATGGACGGTTTTCCGTTGGTCATTCAGCGACGTCATTTCCAGTCCCTGCGACGTCACATTGGCTGGCTGTATGGAGAGTCCGAGAAGAATTCATCCAGTCGGGACTTTAACTCGGCCTTCGTCCGGTTCTTTGCCAGAGTGCGAGTACTCTCTGAAGGGGCCGAGTGCCCGTCTTTCCATTCAATGATGGGTTCTCTGCTGTGGGTTTATCACCGGGCCCAGTATGTGTGGTCTATCCGGCATGGACACTTGGGAGGTGTAGCGCTTGAGCACACCTGCCCTCGTTTGCGTGTGGCCCAGCATGTGGCATATTGGGGCAAGGAGAACTGGATATCTTACGCGAGACTGCCGGAAAAGCACTTAAAGGTTGGAGGGCATCCGGCGGTCTTGTCCGAAGTTGCTTATGCTGCGCGAGCAACTGCGCTCATTCTTTCCGGCTTGTGCGCAGCACAGTGGATGGAGGTCAACACTTCCAAGTTCAGAAGTTTTTCGCATTCCAGACAGAACTTCACATACTTCACCTCTGCAGCCGGGCATGGCAGGCCACAAGTCCCCGATGCAGGCCTGCTCGAGGTTCAGAGGGACCTTTGCTCACACGGCCTTCGCCTGGCAGAAGGGCGAGCGGAGCTTGAGGAAAGGCTGCTGGCACGAAGCTTTCCTGGCCAACGCTGGACCTCCACAGAAGCTATGCACTGCGGAAGCTTGCAACCAGAGAAACTACTATCAGCATACCGCGACATGATGCAGACAATTGTTTTCACTATTCCACAGTCAAGCTGGAGCAAAATGCACACGCATCGCAATGTTGCAGGATCCCGCAATGCTTATGAATTCTTATATCACACTTGCGGTTTTGGGGAGGTTTCGGGGACAGGGGTTTCTTCAATTGAAAGAGGGCGAGTTCTCATTGAGGTGACGCAGCAGCATTTCTGAAGTAAAGGGTGTGTTGAACGAAGACCTAACGTCATTGCCCAGTCAATGGCATGTACATGCACGTCGCCTGCATTGCTTAGTGAAGCTTGGGGAAATGCGGAGATGCAGATGGCAGGGTCGGACAGCATTGGTTTTGGCTCAGCATATGCCTGCGGCACAGCGATTCACCGATGCGCTCGTAAATGTCTGAGGTCGCCCCTTTGACTGTCTGAAGGGCACAGCAGCACCCACAGAGCAGATGTTGCCAGTGAGAAGTTAGTCAATCATTCTGACTTGCTGCGGTGCTGCGGCTCAGGCCAGCCGCTGGCCAGCGCAAAAATCGGTCTGGTGCTGTCAGGGGCTCCGACTCATTTCGAGCACCCTACATCCCAGATTCTCTTTTCTGCGACCACACCACAGCACTCGGCCAGCACCGGCAGGGCTAGGAACGCGTTCAGCGGAACTATCGAGTTATTTGACCTTCGAGCTCAGGTCTCCACGAAAACCGTGGATGTCCAATGCAGGGAGCTTCTGAGGCCCGGGCGACTATTCATCACAAACTTGAAAGATTACATCCAGGCTTCGCTTGGCGTGCATAGGGCTCGTTCGTTAGCCTCAGTTGCACATCGAGAAAGATCTACCTAAGCTTTCGATACATTTCCCAGTTATCACTCTCTCAACCGATGCAGGTTCACAAGTTTGATTGTGACGATGGCTTCTCGAATTGGGCAGTCGGATGGTCTACAGCGAAGCAGGCTTGATTTGTTCCGCGAGTGAATGGCCGAACGACGCAGGAGGTGAGTAGCGGTAGAGGGATCACTGGCTGAAATCTGACACGGTGTGTGACTGAACATGACCAGCAGGCCGGGCATCGTTTCTGGATCTCTGTGCTTCTGCTTAGGTGTGGAAATAGTCTATTCGGCTACCAGTAGCATGTTGACTGTTAAATGCTTCTGGTTATTGAAGTGGACCTGCATACATACTGCTCGCGACTCGACATGCAAGATATGAGTATGGTCAAGATCGGCACTATCAATCTGGCTGCAGTGTTGACCCAGCTTTCGAGCATGGATACATTGGCCAATCTCAGGCCTGACGTGGGAATCCATTCCAGCTGATTTTGAACGACAATGCATTTCCAAGTTGCAAAAGTTCTCCCTTTACATGCTCCTTGTGGCAGCTGCTTTTGTTGACAACCTGGTGGCCTGTGGCGTGTCGAGTACCATTCGGAGTCTCATTCCGGGCCACGTGGCAGTGCGCACTAGCAAGAATACACAGTGAACACTGGCGCATGTCAGTGCTGAGCATATCCAGCGTTTACTGTCGTGCGGTCTTCTTGCAGAAGCACTTGCACGGTGCAATGACAGTCGACTGCTGCATAAGGTCGTTAGGTTCGTTCATTCTTTGGTCTCGTGCCCGCGCGGCTGACAGGCCTCTGAGTCCGCGAGGGAGAGAGGGAGAGAGAGAGAGAGAGAGGGAGAGAGAGAGAGAGAGTAGCCATTTTGGCTCAAGCCGTGAGCGGTTCAAGATGGGTTGAGGCCGCCCTGCCTTGCTCTTCTTTCTTGCTCTCTCCCCACTCCTCTGCTAGCAGGCCTC